CCCGCGAGAAAGAACCAGTCGGTTTTATTTACGCGTTGTATGGACCTCTGCGTTCTAAGGTTTTTACTACGAGGAAACTTGTTACTGCGGGTTCGTACTCTACTAAAAATTCGGCGGGAAAGTCGGATGGAAAGTCATTCTTGTTTTCAACAATGGCGGACGGATGTTGCAAGAATGCTCTCATTAGCCGCTTTGAGAGCTGTATCTCAGACATCACGAGTACAAACCACGCCTGGGTCAGAAGCATTTTTCTTCACTATCTCAGGCTAGATTCACACTATATTGGACAGCTTTTCGTGGCGCCTCGAACAGTAACGGCTCGGGACGGTCACAAGTCGTTCACACACATCGAACATCGTGCCGCCGCGGTTGGCCGAGAGGGTTTGGAGCACTAAATTCCAGTCTTCACTGGGTCCCAGGCCTCGTTCCTACTTATTTACTTCCGCAACTTCCACAACTGGCCAAATAAGTGTTCACACCGCACCAAAGTAGGGCACAAAGCTTCCAATCATACATACTAATCTTTATTTAAATACGATAGTTCTTAAAGCTGTTAAAGCTTGTTGGGTCGCGTGTTTAATCTGGATTTTTGAAAACCGGGTTAGCAAAAATATCAACTCATTCTATTACTTGGCAATTTAAAACAACAAAGCTCGCTCAAAGGCCGACCAGAAGCCTTTATCTGACGCCGGGCAGTAAGTTAATGGTCCCTAGAAGCATTCCAAGGGGTCCAAATTTTAAAATGACGCAAAGTTTAGGACATTTATTCAGTAATCTGACTTCGCCAAGTTTCAAACCGGTGTCATTTCAGTCTAAAAATTTTCAAGTTGAGGGAACTGCAGCGAAAGAGTGCCTGGTCAAGGCTTACATAACAACTTAGATAGTTAGTAAAACACTACTTTTTTCGCGGTCCGATAAACAATAGGATTTCGCATGGAATAGACAACAAACTGAATGACACATAGTGCACAACAAATCATCACCTTCTTATCTGCAAAAACCGGCGTATGGTTCAATGCTATTAGAGCCCACTGAAACTAGACCTAGATCCAATTTTTCTGAGTCGAGAGTTGCTTTTCCAAGGTACAATCAGCTAAACTAAACACCGACGAAACAATATTAAAGGCTGGCACAGAATATTTTGGAGAAACCGCAGTTTAACCACGCGAACACATACCTGTCAACACCATGCGGAAATCACACAATCACATACTTTCGCAGCACTAATAAGACTATCCACAACCACGCACAATCTTCTCAGGTTCAACATAGGCGAAATATCATCGAATAACTCGGAAAAACTCAGTCTATTGGCAAATAAACACCTCTGGACTTTTCTCTTACACTCGTCTTATTCAAGTTTTCGGATGTAGAGTCACACGGTCGGCCGGGACCACCTTGCCTTGTTTTCACATCAGAAAAACGTCTTGGCCCCAATCAAAGTCCACCTGCAATTTTGCTCTCACCTAATTCATTTGACGCCTAAAAGCCTGTTGTCAAAGACAACAAAGACTTAGTGGTCACCTTAGAAAAGCGAACAATATCGTACCTTTCTGTCTCAGCCAGCATCGGGGTGATTGGTCCGTTTAGCCAAATGAAACGAGAATATTTAAAATCGAAAAGTTTGTAAATCACTCGCCTTCGGCTTGTGACTTAGAAGCTTTTCGAGTGTTCTCCCAACATCCCGAGTGGGTTATCACGCCGGTAACCCATTGAGAGTGTGGTCTATTGCTTTTATGAAATAACGTTTAGTAGAACGGAGCCTTTTAGGTAAAAAATGTGGTTTTAGTACCGTGATCAAGCCATGTCTTCTCTCTAAAGTCACTATAAGCCAATCATGATTCACGATTTAAAAGCACCGAACTTTCTCAAAACTCAGTTCAGTCAAACAACAAACAGCAGCACTTCAAAACACGAATTTTTGCTCTCATTACATGACAACTTATGAAAACTGCTTTTCAGGAAAAGTCAACACATATTCATGGGAAGGTACAATGAAGTTTGTTTACTACAGAAGTAGAAAATTGAACATCACGCTGTACGCAGCCGTATTTAGTTGAGTCGATCCGTAAACCTTTCGTGCTTACAGACGAAAGTGGCAGCTGTTCTAATGGAGGATTTCATTCACTTTTTACAAGCTGCAGTGGTTTTTAAACCAGATCTTAAAAGATCTGTTTTCTGGACTTTATCATGATCAAGAAATGTTGCTGTAACGACGTTGCTGCATTTGTGAAGTTGTCGCATGTAACGTATGTATGTACAGCGACCGATGGAAATATGTCAGTGGTAGCTCTAAATTTAGAGAAAGGTTTCTTTGCCGTAGCCACATATTAGCGTTAATATTTGTCGATTTGTGAAGTCAGATGGCTTGAAGTAGGTTATGGCATCGATATCAGATATCAGATATCAGATGATCAGATATCTCTTTTCGGAACAATTTCTTTCATTCAGGAATTTAATTTTGACGTAAAATAAATCAAGAATGCCAAAACTATCCGTTTTAATTTGTTGCTGGTTGGCACATGGTTAAGCTTTCCTTAAGACTTTCTACACCAGAAATTCACACCGAGTTGTTGTCTTTCTCTGCGAAATGGCATCGTCGTGAAATGTAAACTGCTTTCCAGCTTTGTACTTTATAACTTTTAAAGTAGCGAATTGTGATGCTCTGTAATAAAATGTGGAAACCAACACTTTTTAATATTAAGAAGGGCTAGGTAAGTAACTTGTTCTGTGTTTTATTCTTTCTAAAATTTTTGTTTGCGGATCAATAGCCCGATTTGTTTATGGCTCGCGTTCCGGATGCCTTTTTCTATGGGTTTACCGGTATAATAAACCATAGGTTTTTGACCAATCAGATCGCGCGTACTATCTCAGTTATTTTATAAAATACGATATTGGACGATGCAGACTCTGCAAATCGTAATAACTTTGTCCCATCATCATGCTCTCCGGGAAACTTTTCTCAAGGTGACCGATATCTAAAAGTAAACTGCTAAACGGCACCGAAACCAGCTTTAGGCGCGCACTGATTTCAAATAACTGTCACTTGTATTGAGGAGACAATTGTGGGTAGGGACAAAAAATGGGAGAGAAGGAGGGGGGTGGGGGGTGGGGGGAAGGGGGAAGATAGTAATTCTGTCTACATCCACTTCTACACAAATCCCTAACCACAAAACAAGCAAAAACAACTACATATGCAAACAGCACAGTAAACAAGATATAAGACAGGGGAAGTTGAGAAAAATTACAAAATGTTTGCTGATCCGGTTTTCATAACTCCAGGTAGATCTACATCAAACCAAATATACAAATTATATATATTGTCTGGACAGAGTGATCAGCAACACATAAAATTCTGTTGTCTGCATCTTATAGCATCTTATAGCAGATGCAGACGTACATTCAGACTTCAAATCTATAAAATAATCTTCAGCACTGACTCGCTTCATGAGCTCATTAAAATTGATGGTCGCAGATGCTTCCTTGTCGTTGTAGTTAACAAAGTTCCATAGCGATGCACCTCTATATGAGAGAGAATCTTTCATGTATCTTGACTCGTGCCTTGGTACGAGAAGGCGGTTCTGGTCTCGAATGAAGTAAGTGCTAACGCGATTTTGGCCAATATTCTCATACATTATATCAGGTAAGGATTCGCTATGAGCCCCATAAAAAAGTCTAAGAACGTCTAACTTATAATAAATAGAAAAGGAAGGCCACTGCACTGAACATATCTAAGCACGTCTTCTGAAGCCATATCCTTCGGTAAATTATAGATCATACGTGCCGCTCTACAGTGAAGTGTTTCTATTGACTTAAAAAGATCAGAATTTCAACACGAACCCCACAAAACTAAACCCTACTTAACAGCGGTAAGAATCACTTTAAAATAAAAGTCCTTTAAAATTCCTTTTGGTAAAAAACGAGAAAGTTTGAGCAAGTCCAGTTTTTTTGGCAAACACGTTGGCCATCCAGGTGAGTTTCTGGTCTACTATCCGACCTAACATTTTCGTCTTGGTAACCAAACTTAACACTGAGTTTCCTAAGTACACAAGAGCGAGAGGACCTATCCGTGTCCCCTTGGTGAAAAGGGTGGCCTCGCTCTTTCTGGGATGTGGCATTAACCGGTTGTTTAGACACAAGTTGTAAAACTCTCGTAAGGCCTTATTCAGTTGATCGATCGCCAGATCAGCTGTTTCTCCAACACAGGCATCATCCGTATACATATAAACGGACCCAGAAGGCACAGAAGAAGGTAAGTCGTTGGTGAACAACACCAACAGTGTCGTTCCTAAAACCGATCCTTGTGGGATCCCTATCGACACAGGTAACAAGCGACTTTACACCATGTAGCACAGTCAATCGTTGTCTTCCACTGAGGTAACTGCATATTAGGTCAAGGAGGGAACCATTAACTCCAAGGAACAGTTCAGTTTTTTCAACAAGATATCAGAGGCACACTATCAAACACTTTTTTAAAGCAGCTTCCAATGCCTGGTCGTATTCCTAAAAAACCTTTCTGATATGTAACGCTCCACTTTCGAGATCGGCGCGGCGCAGCCTCGCCCCGCACAGAAATCGCGCTGCCACAATTGTTCTTGTGGGTGAAAAGAAGCCCTATTCGGGACGTTTTTCGTGGCGGCGCAAAAGCTATCCGTTACAGTGTGATCATAGCCTCAATAATTTCCTTTCTAGAACTTACTGCTCTGAAGAAGTTTTAAAGTTTCTCACCTCTTAGTAGTCCTGAAAAAATTATACAATGTACATTTCATCTCGCTGCTTCATACGAGTGCTACCCAGCTTTATTCACACTCAATCCAGACTGATCGAAATGTTGTTAGTAGCCGTTTACTTTTGTTTATTATTGTTATAGTATTTCTTTAACCGGGGCGAATTGTCAGGGTAAATCAAATGCGATCAGTCAACAGTTACTGATTTAATTATGCTAATAACCCGCACTGTACTGAAGAACATGCCAGACAAATAAGTTGTTGTGACAAGGAAGCCTAAAGAAGCTGGGAGCTTATATTAAATGGCCTGGTGCAGCTCCAACTTACCATTTCTAGTTGTGTTTTTGCTATATGCTTCAGTTGCTTTGAAAAGTAAGTCATACTTATTTCTCATAATAGTTAATATATACTTTCGGTTAGCAGACGATTTCATCTAGCCGAAGAGCGGGTTCTGCGTGTCCTTAGGCCCAGTTCATGCGTCGTGCTTCCACTGTGCCGTTGCCTTCTGCAGAAGCAAGTCAAAGGCACGACTTCAATTCAGACATCATGCCAGAATCAAGGTTATTGTGATCGGTGTATCAAGTCAGTGCTGATTAAAACTAACAAACAAACAAACAAAGAAATGGCGGGACCATAAATCCCGCTAACATTATACATTTCCGAAAGTGATTTATGAATTTGTTTGACACGGCATAAGCACTACTTTTGAATCACATGCCGTGCCACGGCAGCGCTATTCTAACTTTGAAATTGCTCTACCAAACCGAATTCAAAACCTTCATTCAGACGTCGTGCTTATGTCGCCCCTTCGTCGAACTTAATTCTAAGAATTGAAAGTTCTGCACGGCAAAAGCATAACGAAATGTCGGGCTGTCGTTTATTTGGTGTTCATAGAAACAGTTCCCTCCAGCTAAAAGCTGTTGTCTAAGCGCTCAAAGTATCCGGACGAATTAAGTCCCGCTCGTTCTTCCAGTTACCACGGACGAAAATTTTAAGTCCTTTGACTAAGTTTTAGGTTGTTTAATTTAATTGATAGCCCAGGCGGACACGCGGCGAATGGAAAGGCTCTTTTTGACCGATTAACTAATTTTGTTCCTTGGTTTTTGCCAACTAAAAGTTTGTGAAAAAGGTTGTTTAATTTAATTGATAGCCTAGATATTTTTATTGGTAGGCGTTTAGATGGTTAAAAGTACTTAAAAAGACAAAACAAATATAGACAAACTGTTCATTAAAATTGAATGTTATATCTATTTTATACAAATATTTCATGTAAAAAACAAAACAAAAAAAAGACAAAGCAAATTGGCAATTAGCTTCCGGTTTTATGCAGACTAATCTTTTACAGTGTTAATATATGTAATTGCGCTAGCGCTGCTGTTAGAAAGAACTGCTCAATAGTGTGAAATACCCCAATTTTACTGATAGTCGTTGCTTGTGCCACGAATATACTGATAGTCGTTGCTTGTGCAACGAATATTGGATTTTCCCTCGGCGGAATGTCGTTTTGAGTCCTAGGGTATTTCATTAGCCGGCAATTTTTTCATGAGTCAAAAGGTCATTTTCGCGGAAAAGAAAGCTCTCAAAGCTGTTATCAACAGCTTTGAAAAGAAAACAATGGCAAGGGGAGTCTGTATCAAGGAACGTTTCGAAAGCATTTATCATTAAGCGTAGCTTTTAATCACTGACCGTGGTTGTGCACTAGTACGTTACTTCCGGTAACTAAGATGATTTTTCAGTGACGGAGCTTAAAATGCTTAACAGGAGCAATGCGAGGTTCCAGATATCTTGCAAGTTATGTTAATTTTGTGGCGAAACACGCATGACAGCGGTCAATCAAGCCCTCTCGCATCGGCATAAAACAATCAAGGAGTTCACTTGAATTCACATGACTAATTCACGTGACAAAACTGAGACCAGTAAGGGTTCATTGCGATACAGTCGAAAGCTACAACAGTAAAGCATCTGAGACCTTTTGAGACTCTAATTTATTTTTCAAATAAATAATTCCTTGTCTAACTGAGTACGAGGCAGCGTGGCCGAGCAGTTAGAGCGCCGGACTTCGGAGGCCCCGACAAGCCCCGCTCTGAGCGCTAGCTGGATTTGTTCACGGTAGTCTAGAGTTAAAATTCCTCGGCCACGTGTATAAATAACCAGCTGGTTTGCCTCCGGCCATTTGGGATTCTTAACCCTGTTAAGTTCAATTTGAATTATTTGTTTCAGGCATTTGCTTGGCCCCACTAGCATTAGTGCTATAAATACTGCCGAGGATAAATAACGGAATTATTACGTCTTGCATGGAACAGAAGAACAACATATTTTTGGTTAATTCTAATTAAGGGAAATTATTCTTCAGACACATATGGCTGTTCTCCTAACCCATGTGCAAATAATGGAACGTGCACAGGTGCACCAAACAACTATACCTGCGAATGCACTCCAGGCTTTGAAGAGGGGAATTGTACCAAAAATAAGTTCTTTATAATGAAATGTAAATGTCCATGTTTTTTGAGTCAACTAATAGCTTAACCAAGAGGGAATAATGGACAGAGAGGAAATCTTATGGCGTTGGTCGGGATATGTGAATTTCACTAAAGTTATTTTTGGAGGATGTGGTTAAACAGAAGTCTAATGAATGAGGCTGAGTATCTTAATATATAGATTTAGCCAGGGCTAAAAGCGAGGCTCCCATTAATAAATTTATAATTTAAATCAAACAATAAACTTGTGTTCCACAATTCAGTTAATTTTGGAGCACATTTGTGTGACTTTTGAGGGAAAGGTTACGTGATTTTAGAGAAAAATAATTTGCGAACAGCCCAAGAGTGAACCAAATCTTACATCGAGTTGATAGCCTCATATGTACACCCAAAAACTGGTAATCATCTTCGATCACATCTAAGAGCCATAGATTGATCACCGGAGATTAATTAGGCCTGGAAAAAAAACTGGGCCAAATTTTTTGCATTCGACAAGTTTACTTTGCAAAATCTTGCCAACAAATCTGGGTGCGTGTAAACCAACCTTTTATACCATTTATACATCACATCTGAGGTGAAACAGTAGTATGAGGCACTGTTTTTATCTTACAGACCTCGGATAGAAAGCAGTATTTCACAATACAAATTGCACTCATTCAATATTCAGGACGATGGAAGTACGCGTGGGCTTTTAGCTAAACCGTTAAAAAAAATTTCCAAAATCACCTATACGGCCATCCGGTTCTCACTTTTGTAGTGCGAGCTGTGGCGAGTGTTTGCATGAAATTAACAGAGTTACGCTCCAACATAGCGCGGCATTTTGAGTACTCCTGCGAGCGATGTTCACTGAACGGCTGAAAACAATCGGCACAGCGATTAAAATTACAAGAGAGACTACTAACAATCGATAAAAGAAATATAGTTCGGTAAAACACATACAGAGACAACAATTTTCATTCAGGAAGAAAAGCATTAAAGCTTCAAGCTTCAAGCTTAAGTTTATGTTTTAAGCCGGCTTCCCGGTGTTTGCTTTTTTCAAAGACGAACTCGAGGCAAGAAAATCGCTCAAAGCTTTCTTTACAGCCAGAATTATAACTAAATATTCTTTGGAACGTTTTCTTTCTATTTGCGGTGAGAAACTGTCTGAAGGCTTTTTAAAGTTCTGTGAGCTTATATCAAACCTGATACTCGGTCAGATCACTGTCTCAAATCTTACAAACGTGCATAAACTAAATACCCGCATAAACTACGCTCGACTTCATTAAATTAGATACAAAAAACAAACATCAAATACAATAAATACTCTGGCTTACCATTCGAGATGCAGCTCCTGAAAGGTATCAAGTAAGGCCTGTATCGCTTCAGACTTTGCAACCCTCTTACGCATCAAAGCAAGGTGAAAACGAAAACGACGCCATCTGAAATTGGATTTCCGACTTTGACAAGCGACGTATTTCTCAACCAAAAACCCAATAAACAAACTACCATGAATAACAGAAGACTCCTGATAGCAGCTGAATTTCATTTTGTACATCCAGTGGAAAAAGACAGTTAAAACATCAAAAGTTGACACAAAACTCTGTCAGCTTCAGATGTCAAAGTAAACAAGATTCAAGATGCTGCATCACCTGTTAAATTTTGACCAATCAGAGCATAAAAATTGGACGTAGAGCGTCAAAAGTCAAAAGCAACTGTCTTCCCTGCCTCTAAACAGCTGGCTGAATTTTCGCGTCCGAGGTCAGTTTACAATCAAAATTTTAATTGTGCGGCACATAAACACAACACTTGAGCCTGCGATCACTTGAAAACTAGTAACTTGTCAGCGCATAACTTCAAAAAATACTTGACCTCGATGGGTCAACACTTGAGCCCGCGATATGGTCAAGTGATAATAGTCAGCGGGTACCCTGTTTTGACAGCTGTCAATTGATCAAAATATTGATGTCCAATATGTGTGCATTGTCAGTTTTCCTGTGCTCCCAAACTAGCTAAAAGAATGAGATTGAATATTGTTCGCGATGTAGTAAAACAATTAACTGGTCAGCGGACAGCTTCCAAATAAATCACGTCACTTCGAGGAGTTGACACATGAGCTGAAATGTCAGCCATTTTTCAAGGTCACAACCAAAACAACTCAACCTCGTCCCCAGGTCTTCTCGGTTAACGGTGTATTAATCTGTAGAAGGCTGCATTTTTGTTGTCATTTCCTCGTTAAACACAAAATTCTTCCAAATTTGGTCATCAGTAACCGGTTATGGTGAATTATGCGTGTGCTTTTAACCTAAATTGGGGAAATATTTTGAATGAATAATAATACTGAATTAACAACGCTGGGAATTCACTGATGGAAACTTATCGCCAGATAAGATTTCCATGGCTTACTGTGGACATGACTTAAATTATTTCACTTTTTTAGTTCAAGTCCAACCACGCCATGTGTTATTATGAATATCAAGCTGTGTAGGTAACAGAAGTTCGAATGTGAACGTTTTGCCTTACAAAATACTTGATCGAACCCCATTAAATACAAAATTATATAGGGTCAACAAAACAAAATTTCTTCCTTTTAACGTAACAGAAAGCCGCTCAACTCATACATACCTACAAACGAAATCAACACTAACGCCCTAACTTGCAAACACTTTCTAATCCAAAGAAAAACTGCTCAACAAGCATTTCAAATAAGGATGTCTTTTCACAACATGATTAATTGCCTATAATTCCTTCTATCAAATGACTCTACTCAGCGTGATGTCGAAATTGACACTTCCATAGTACAGCCATTGGATGAACGTAATCTTTTAGGCCTTTTAATTGACAGGAACTTGTTGTTTAGTAACGATATATCTTCAGCTTTCCAGAAAGTGAAATTAAGAATATACAAGGCCACCATTTTGCGATATCTGAAATACTGCAGCCTCGTTTGGCACTTTTGTAGAGGCTCAGACCGGAGAAAGCTTGAGAGGGTCAATGAACGGGCTCTGTGAGCTGCATTTTGCAATTGGAGATCATCATATGATGAGTTACTTACGCGTGCACGGATGACTAGTCTTTACAATAGGCGCCTGCAGGATATCGCAATCCTCAGCGTATCATTGTCAAGTCATAACTTACGAAATTCAGACTTCTTTATTCCCAGGTTCGATACCGTAAACTATGGCAGACACAAGGACAGGAACCTAGCCACATTATCGGCTTTCAAAACAAGTATTGGCAAGAAAGTCTTTTCAAGTTTCATAGCTGAGAAAAAATGTTGAAATTCTAACTTGTGTAGTACTTGAGGCCATATTTGATAATTTACTTTTAGATTAATTAGAAAGTACACTATTTTATTGTTATTATTATCTACTTATTTATTCACGTTTATAAAAATATGTTAACGTTATTAATGTAATTTTATAGTGAATATTTCTTGTTAATATTATCAAATGTAATCTTAAGCTTATTAAACAGATTTTATTAACTAGGTGTCCCCGATTGGCAGGCTACTTGTGACCACCTAGAAAATTTTGACACGTTAATAAAGTTGTTCATTCATTCATTCCTTCAACACTGCTAATGTTTCAGCGAGTGCGTCGACCAGTGTCTTGACCTCCGCATCATCCGATGTGTTCACCAATGCCTTGGCCTCCACATCACCTAATGCGTCGGCGAGTATCTCGACTTCAACGTCTGCTAACTTGTCAACCACAGCTGCAACCAGTGCATCAACCTCCACATCGCCCAGTGTGTCGGCAGATGCCTCGGCCTTCATCTCTGCTAGCGTGTCAATCAATGTGTCGACCACTGTCTCGGCTTCCACTTCTTCTCAAGTGTGTCACCTAGTATGTAGATCAGCGTCCGCCTCCAAATTGCTAGCCACAGCCTCTCCCTCTGCTAGCGTGTCATCCAGTGTGTCTACCAGTCCCTCGACCTCCCCATCGCCCAGTGAGTCCGCAAGTGTCTCCACCTTCATCTCTGCTATTGTGGCTGCCAGTGTAGCGACCAGTGCCTCGGCCTCCACCTCTTCTCAAGTGTGTCACCTAGTGTGTGGCTCAACATCCATATCACAGTTTGTGTCGGCCTCCACATTGTCTAGTGTGTCACCAAGTGTCTTGGCCTCCACCTCTGCTAGTCTGTCAGCTCTTGGGTTGACCAGTGCCTCGTCCTCCAGGTCGCCCAGTGTGTCGACAAGTTTCTCTGCCTTCACCTCTGCTACCGTGTTAGGCAGTGTGTCGACCATTATCTTGGCTTCCACATCGCTCAGTGTTTCGCCAAGTATCTATGTCCCCACCTCTGGTAGCCTGTCAGACTGTTTGTCTACAAGTGCTTCAGCCTCTACATCGCCTAGTGTGTCGACAAGTTTCGCAGCCTCCACCTTTGCTAGCGTGTTAGGCAGTGTGTCGACAATTGGCTTAGCCTCCACATCGCTCAGTGTTTCGGCAAGTATCTCTGCCCCCACCTCTTCTAGCCAGTCTGCCAGTGTTTTGACCAGTGCCTCGGCCTCTACATCGCCCAGTTTGCCGTCAAGTGTCTCGGCCTCTCCGTCTGGTGGTCTGCCAGCCAGTGTGTCGACCCATGCCTTGACGTTTACATCGCCCAGTGTGTCGACAAGTGTCTCGTCCTTCACCTCCTCTAACGTGTTAGCCAATGTGTTCACCAATGCCTTGGCCTCCACATCACCTAATGAGTCGGCAAGTATCTCGACTTCAACGTCTTCCAACTTGTCAAACACAGCTGCAACCAGTGCATCAACCTCCACATCGCCCAGTGTGTCGGCAGATGCCTCGGCCTTCATCTCTGCTAGCGCGTCAGTCAATGTGTCGACCACTCTCTCGGCTTCCACTTCTGCTCAAGTGTGTCACCTAGTATGTAGATCAGCGTCCGCCTCCAAATTGCTAGCCACAGCCTCTCCCTCTGCTAGCGTGTCATCCAGTGTGTCTACCAGTCCCTCGACCTCCCCATCGCCCAGTGAGTCCGCAAGTGTCTCCACCTTCATCTCTGCTATTGTGGCTGCCAGTGTAGCGACCAGTGCCTCGGCCTCCACCTCTTCTCAAGTGTGTCACCTAGTGTGTGGCTCAACATCCATATCACAGTTTGTGTCGGCCTCCACATTGTCTAGTGTGTCACCAAGTGTCTTGGCCTCCACCTCTGCTAGTCTGTCAGCTCTTGGGTTGACCAGTGCCTCGTCCTCCAGGTCGCCCAGTGTGTCGACAAGTTTCTCTGCCTTCACCTCTGCTACCGTGTTAGGCAGTGTGTCGACCATTATCTTGGCTTCCACATCGCTCAGTGTTTCGGCAAGTATCTATGTCCCCACCTCTGCTAGCCTGTCAACCAGTGTGTCTACAAGTGCCTCGGTCTCCAATTCGCCCGGTGTGTCGGCAAGTGACTCGGTCTCCACCTCCGCAAGCCTTTCAACCAGTGTGTCGACGAGTGCATCGATCTCCACATCGCCCAGTGTGTCGGCAAGTGTCTCGCCCTTCCCCTCTGCTACCTTGTCAGCAAGTGTGTCGACCAGTGTCTCGGCCTCCACGTCGCCCATTGTGTCACCAAGTTTGTCAGAGTCGCTATCTGCTAGCGTTTCAGCGAGTCTGTCGACCAGTGCCTCGGCGTCTACATCGCCCAGTGTGTCGGAAAGTGTCTCGGCCTCCACCTCTGCTAGCCTTTCATCCAGTGTGTCGACGAGTACATCGGTCTCAACATCGCCCAGTCTGTCGCCTACTGTATCAGCGTCGCCATCTGCTAGTGTGTCAGCCAGTTTGTCGATCAGTGCCTCGGCGTCTACATCGCCCGGTGTGTCGGAAACTGTCTCGGCCTCCACCTCTGCTAGCGTGTCAACCAGTGTGTCTACAAGTGCCTTGGTCTCCAATTCGCCCAGTGTGTCGGCAAGTGTCTCGGCCTCCACCTCCGCAAGTCTTTCTACCAGTGTGTCGACGAGTGCATCGATCTCCACATCGCCCAGTGTGTCGGCAAGTGTCTCGCCCTCCACCTCTGCTAGCTTGTCAGCCAGTGTGTCGTCCAGTGTCTCGGCCTCCACGTCGCCCAGTGTGTCACCAACTGTGTCAGAGTCGCTATCTGCTAGCGTTTCAGCGAGTGTGTCGACCAGTGCCTCGGCGTCTACATCGCCCAGTGTGTCGGAAAGTGTCTCGGCCTCCACTTTTGCTAGCCTTTCAGCCAATGTGTCGACGAGTGCATCAGTCTCCACATCGCCCAGTCTGTCGGCAACTGTGTCAGCGTCGCCATCTGCTAACGTGTCAGCCAGTTTGTCGACCAGTGCCGTGGCTTCCACTTTGCCTAGTGTGTCAGCTAGTGTCTCGGCCTCCACCTCTGCTAGCTTGTTAGCCAGATTTTCCTTTAGTCAAAGCATTTCTATAACTGCTAGTTCAAGCATTTTACCTTCAACTCCCAGTAAGTGTTGTGTTTTTGATGTGTTTGATTAGACACTATTGACCAGGTATTTGTCACCTATAATTTTGCCGAATTTGACCTGGTCGGAATTGCAGTCGGTCTGAAATGCAGTCGGCTGTTTTGCATCCTACCTGTTTTCTAGGATTCTTCTGTGTTGCGCTAATGGCCATCCATTTTCCCCTTGTGGAATAACTTGCGGTTTCGTTTATGTTTTTGCATTGGCTCATGACCTTTTCTATGGTACATAAATTTTTTTCCAAACTATTTTAACAAGGGCACTGCTGGAATGTTTGTGGATGTCAGTAGCATCGGCTTTTTATCCACTATGGTCTTAAACAATGATTGTCACTTAGGTAGTCAACGTTAACTCTTGGCTAAGAGCTAATAAGTGTAACCTAAATGTCGCTAAAGGGTACAAAGCCAAGCTGGGGTTTCCATCAGTGCACATATCGTCTCTTGGACTAACAATTGACGAGACCCTCTCCTGGTGCTAGCATATCATAAATACTTCATAAAAGATTTTTTCAGGAATCGGCGCCTTGAAACGTGTGAGACCAAACAATCATTTACGCATTCTCAGCTGCAAAAAGGAATAAGACTTTAGTTGATCCCCACTTTATGTACTGCTGCAGTGTATGGTATGGTCTCATCTACACTTTGAACGATAAACTTCAAAAATTACAAAACCGCGGAGCTACGGTAATTGCCAAATCTAGATATGACGCTAGTATAGATCCCTTTCTTGCTTTGATGGGATAGGATTCAGATATCTAACCAAAACAAGGGGCGGCTATCATGTTCAAAACGCTAAAGAAGCAAATGCCCCTCCTCCCCTCCACCCCCATGTACGATATTGTCTCTGCTCGTGACATTTTGTTTTTACAATATCCCTCACTCTGGGCACATCCTGCACGTTTCCAAACCAAGCACTAACTTTCTTAAGCTCAGTTGTTTGTATTCAGGGGCTGCCCTTTGGGATGGACTGCCATCAGTCAGGACTACGTAAGCCATTAAGCCTCACAAGGTTTAAAGATGGAATAAATGTTTATCATTCATCAGCGTGTACTCATACGGCAAAAACGCAGACTAGTATTTTAGATTTTCATTACCTTCAAATACTGATTTTTAACCGTATCTAAATAGAGTACTTTTATGTCTATGTCTATGCACCCGCAATTGGCGAGTTATATTTTAACAGAAAATCGCCACTATAGCAGATTGGAACAAAAAAGATAGTTGAAGTAATCTTAAAATATAGGTCTACAACATATTTACTTATTCATATTGACATATTTACTATTGTTGAGACGTTGTGCATGGTGAAATTGTTTATCAACCAGCCTAATGAAAAGTCTAGTTAAAGCCTTCATAGAAGGAAAGCTAAATGTCACACGAAGCACACTCACTTAAAGTGAAAATTGCCTTTTTATTGTGCTTTTTCTTTCTCCTTTGAAGCAATTGCACCTGCGAGCAATCTTATTCCGTTTGGGCCACCGGAGAATGATGCTGAGCTCATAGCGGAGCCATCTTGTAATGACGAAGTGATCTGCCAAAGTATCAGAGCGGGCCGTTTTGGATTTGAATTCTTCCAGAGGAGACGTTTCAGACTGAATGTAGGTATCGGTCTAATTGTTATTGCTGCCTAAAGGGCTGCAGGGGTCTTGGATTTTGGGCCCCTCCTTTTTCTATATATCCTGCTTCAAGGTTTTTACTACGTTTCCTTCTTTTGTTCAGATTGTTCTTCATATTTGTATCTAATTTTATACACAACTAAACAAGACACGTCTCTCTTAGTACCGGGAAAAAAAGCCAAACGGCATCTTTGTAGCTTTCGATAAGCTAGGGGACTGTTAAGTGCTTTAGTTGACTTGTTTTTTAAAACAGATAAAAAAACAGACGGTTGTAACTGGAGCAAAAAGCGCACTTGTGAAACTATTTACAAAAAGGATATCTTACATTTCCGCGCGGAGATACGAAATTTCTTCTTGAGTCTTAAGCGAACGAGTGAAATATTCTCGATTACTCAAAGAGAATATTCGTATCTCCAAGCGGCCATGTATTGTTCTATTTTTTATACAAACACCAATGAGATACCAAACTATTTCGCTTTGATATCATTTGGCCGCGAAAGGTGCGGTTTATTATGTAGCCATGGCAACGGTGATCTTTACAAGTCTGAAGATCAGTATGAAGTTTTCGCGCTAAAGCTCACCTGGTATTTCATTAGTGGTTATGTAACAATACACATTCTTTTACTTTAGATATTTAAACACAGTGATGTTAATACAATTCCTATCGACGCCCAAAAATTTCATAATAGCTTCTTCGAAAATCACATACTCTTAGACAAAACTAAACCTTATTCTATTCAAATCGACATCAATTTATATAACAATTAAATTCGCCTAAAATATCACTCATGGGTATCACTTCTCCTGCTTTGCTAGATATGTTTCAATGGTAAAATCCAGTTTAACGAAAGATGGAGTGTGCGGTGGCCCCAGAAGTTTGGTATTTACAGATGGCTTCGTTCAAATGCATTCATTGCACCATTCTGGGCCAGGGTGGAACATAGAGCATTTAACACAGGAATTTCCAAGGTTTATTATCACGCTTACGAGCAAAGCAACCAGAAAACGGATCAAATAAGTAACATACTCCGTCTGGCCTCACGTTATGTTCAGAATTACACTAACGATGAAAAATTTAGAAACTTTGAAGCCACTTGGGTTCTGGTCGTCACTTGGGTAAATGTCTGCCCTTACGACGAATGTACAGAACGTTGTAGTTTGGTAAGTTATGATTTTCACATTAATTACATTTTTCAGACCTTTTTCTTACGCACTGTCATTCTTTGGGACAAACGCTAGCTTTTGGGTCGGTGGTTTGACCGTTTTTCATGCCTATTTTAGATGCTCCAAACAGTAAGCTCTTTAATTCAGCAACTTTAGATTGATGATTAGTTTTCGAATACACCTTGTCACGGTTTTCGTATAAGAATCTAATGTCGAATAATTTCCGTAAAACGGCTTTTCTGAAAAAAATATGAATTTTTTAACGAAAGATTCACTCCTAACGGTCCTACCGATAAACATTGAGGGTGTTATATGCAGCTGCTTGCTCTAGAACAACTTTGTATTCTTTTTTGTCTCTAAACATTTTTCTTCCTTTGGACTAACATTTCCCGGGAAAAACTGCAGGCAAATACATAGAAAATCTAATACAAGCGTCTGGAGAAATTTAAGCACATTTACGACCCCAAAATTTGTTAGTACAATCCTTTGCTGTAGCTTTAGTTTACAGTTCAGTTTTTTTTTTCAGAACAGCTGTTTTACTCAAATTATTCGACATTACATTCTCCTCATACAAACACTGTAATTTCTCACGCGGTTACCTACTCGTCAAGATGGCTTTCAAAACCGTGACAAGAACTTTAAAACTTCGCTCGCTGTACTACATTAATATTGATTGATTGATTTGTTAGTCATGTACTAGCCCGCGAATAGCGCCGTCTCTCCTTGTTCTTTCGTCGCTGCGGATATGTTCCGCGCACGAAGAACTAGCGTCTTCGCCATTTTCTATACCAGGTGTTGGATCTATTTTATTGGCGGGAAAATGGTAACGTGAGAAACAAGACAAACTTAGTTGAATGGGAAGCGCTTGTTGATTGGGTGGGGATTAAGTGCACTATTTTGAAAGACATTTTTTGCCACAATTCTTTTCGACCTTATGCCTTCGTTTGGTGAACATAGAGACTTCAGATTGCCATGTTTTTTGGGTGGAATGATTGGCGAGATTAAAATAGCGACCACGTCTTAGAAGTTTTTTTTATTATTATTTTTCAAATATCCTCAACATATTTCCAACATGATCGTGGAAACAGTGACAAGATCCTTGTCCCGTTTCGCCCATAACTGGCAGGGGGAGTAGCGTGCAGGTCATGCAATTGACGGCTTGTGTTAAAATTCATCCCCAGTTTCATTTCAGTTTCAGAATGGCATTTACTAGATAATTCGTCTTATAATTTGTGACTATACCTTCCAGTTTTTTTTTAAATAAAGTATTCCGGGGGGGGGGGGGGGGGGAGGATACTCAACAAAGATTTATACAGGAAGGCTCCGCCCTGAGGTCCAAACCTTACCTTTCAATATTCTATTTTTGACAACAAAGGTGCCCCTTTCTTATACTGTAATAACCCGCAACTAAGAACCTGTTTTTTAAGAACATGTTAGACTAAAAGTCGTCAATTAGTCCCTCTCCATACCAGAACCTGTTTAGCCTAAATTTGAAACAGGTTTTTATTTTCTAAAATCTATATCAAAAAAAATTCTGCACGCTTGGGAAAATAAGATAAGTCAACATTCAGAGTCCTCTTTGGAGACATAAATGTCCTGATGATCACTCCCACTACAATGTATTGGATGCAGACTTCATATAAGCAATAAACTGAATATAAGACTAAATACTCTTAGCCTCAACGTGCTTTTTCTTCAGAAAATAAGAAGCAATTTAAGAACCTACATGGCCTAAATTTGTTCTAATTACCATTTATGTAAGAACCTGCTTATGCTAACTTGGGAAAATGCGGTTATTAATCGTACTTACTGTCGTTATTAGTCGTTTTTAGTATATACTAAAACAGTGGATAGTGTTTTTCGCGCTCTCTGATTGGCTACTCAATCAGTGAATATCCTGCACTATTCACTGATTCACCTCCAGTTCCTCCGAGCGAACGACGCCAAACTCGCGTAAGTTGCAAGCAAAATGCCTTCCCGGTTTGCTGCCGTAAACAAACAAAGAAATTTCACAACTAATCAAGAAAGCTGTTTCCGAAATACACGAGGAAGGTGACGAAGTTCGGATCGGAAGTTTTAACAGGTAAAGCTTTGTCTTTTTGACACGAATTTATCGATAAAACCGGTGAAAAAGTTTTTTGTTTACAAATGCAAATTAAGCTTAAGTCTTGCTTACTTTATTCAGTTGAGTTGTTCATAAATAAGCTTAAAACTAAATTTGATAATCTTTTTTTATAGAATGATTTTAAATACAAAAAGAATTCACAACTCCTTTTGAAGAAATTTCCCCGCAAGAGCTAAACAAATGCCTTCAAAAGTTTTAGTTGTCGGCAAGGAAAAGCGACGGCCGCGGCCGCCCGGTCATTACGCGCCAAAATTGTAATCGTTGGCAACAGTATTTGAGTTAAAAATCGTCATTTTTGTGCTCAATTATCTCACTGTTTTAGTATATATACTAAAACAATTATTCACCTCAGTGTCGGTGGCTAGTCGTGGATATTTACCTCACTGCTTTGCAGTTCGGTAAATATCCAGGACTAACCACCTCCACTTCGGTGAATAATTGTTATTTATGTACTTGCCATTGACAAATGTTACGCCATTCACATACCTAGTTTAGAACTTTGCATCCCTTTTATCTGCTGTAAAATTCACTGAATAAGTAAATACGAATAAATCACTAAACCAGGACGTTTTCTCGGCTTTTTCGCAATTATACAATGTATCTGTTGGCCCATTTGGGCCTATTTACAGACCGAAATGACAGACCAGTTCTATCAGTTCATATACTTCAATTGATGAAATCCCTACGCTTTGATATTTACCCGAAGACTGACAAAGGTACCCCTTTCGAGCGTAGCCTCCCCGTTTTAAAATAATCTTGCTTAAGCTTACTTGTCGGCCCCCACTCATTTTCTGAGTGCAGAGTGACTGAATGAGTGTTTGAAAGTGTGATTGCCTATGGGTTCTTTTTAACTTGCTAGCACAGTTTAATTGAATCCAGTCAGTTAAGTCTTACGAGATCATTGGTTCGAATTCCGTTGAAGTCCCGGAATTCTTTTCGGATTTATTTGCCATTGCTTAACTTGCAATTACCACTGTGACAGTCATATCTCCGTTAAAAAATTGTATTTTCGCAGTTCAGACATCATCTTCATGTAACATTTAACTTGCTACAAAGTTGTTTACAGTTTATTAAATCTTCCCAGCTCTACATTGTTTATAGGGATGTCAAGACGTCGAAAATGCCCGAACCTTTGGACAAAACCACTGCCCTTAGCTATGAACAGGTTAAAGATTTATCGCTGTACCACTGGCTAAAATAATGTCCTGGCTTTTATGTTTTGTAGAGGAACACTTTTCAAGCAGTCATCATAACAGACTGGGGTAATACGTTTCTCATGTACAACTACCCTTCAGGAGGAATCGAGTGGACAGTTAATGCTCCTGTGTAAGTCATACATACATGTATAAAGATCAAAGGCCTAGACCAAACGTCGAACTTTTCATGAGACGAACCAAACTTAGTGAAAAATTCGACGTCTGGCTCAGTTAATTTCGTCTGAATGAGTTTGGATCGCCCAACACGTTCTATCCGTGTGCTTCCTCTGGAT